AAAGACGTCTGCTTCGATAATCGCACACATGGAAAGGAAAAAGTTAATACACGGATTTCACTTGTAATAAAAAATATGTTTTATAATATGTTGTTCCCATATTGGATATCTCTCTGATGATTATTCTGTCTGAACGATATTTCAAGATTGTATCTTTGGTAATAAGCGCAAGGAACAGAAACAAAATCATCCTTCCGGATGTACTTGTAACGAAACCAATTTCGACTAATGCGTTGTTACCATATCCAGCATTGTGCTTTCCATCATTTCACGTCTGATATTTTGAGACAGAGGTACATTTACAAACGTCTGAGCTGGGAAAAGAACGAAACAGAGCTCCAATTAAAACAGTCCGTTAAGCGAACTTTCATGAAATTCTTTATCGTTATTCAATATAAAATATATATCTCATATTTTTTGTATCTAAACCGTGACAGAAAAACATTTTTAATAATTTTCAATATAATTAAATTTTACATATAATTAAATTTTCAATTGTTTAATTAGAAGAGTCTACGATGTTTAAGAATTAAAAAAAGTTTCTCATTAATTTCATGTCGACTATATAGTGCACATAGTATTTAATATAAAATATTTTTTGTATAACTCTCTCTCTCTCCATCGCGACAGGAAAAAATTTTTAGTGAATTTTACTCTTCGAATATAATTAAATTTTTTATTTTTCATTAATATACTTATATTGTTATTATCTAGCGATCACACAAAAACACATTTCTACTAATTTCATATTGACTTATAAATGCATATACAATATTAATTATATTTCAAGAAAAGTTTTCACATTTCTCAAATAATATAAACAAATTTACGAAAAATGTTCAACAGAAAAATTATAAGTAAAAGTTGTACTGAAAATCAAAAAGCTATACGTATTGTGATAATTTGTTGATTCTATTTCCGAGAGAAAAACATCTGATCGATCCAGGGGCGTTTTCTTTTTTTGATAAAATCATGATGAGACGAAAATTCATCTCAGTTTTGGCTCCATTCGGAGCGAAAGCGGTATGCGCACCCCGGATGCATCGTCGGCTGGGTGCACGTCGATGCCAGGCCACAGGGAAACCGGTGTTGTGTATGTCACCGAAAGAGGTGGTGGGGGCCGGCCGGCCGGTGGTTCTTCATGGTGGGGGGGCCGCAGCCAGGGTTTCCGACCGCGTCGGCGGCGCTTAAGCCTCCGACGCGGGGGCATTGCCGTCGTGGCCGCGGTACGATCCGATTCGGCTGCTGTCTCTCAGTGCGCGCTGCTCTTTCTGCCGCACGTGTCGACGGTCTTCCGAACGTGCCGAAGGATTTTTTTTTTTCCACTTCTTTTTGTCTGCCCTTTCCTGCGCGAGAGATAACCGCGTGGCCGATATCAGTCGCGCAGATTCCCGCGATCTTCGCAATTCTTCAGTGCTACGAGGGCTACGAGTGCGATGATAATGATGGACTCGTGAGAGATAGTGTGCGCGTGTGGTGATCTGAGGAAAAACGCTTCTCTCTCTCTCTCTCTCTCTCTCTCTCTCTCTCTCTCTCTCATCGTTCGCGACCATCGCAATTATGCGCTGACGAATAAGGGGTAGTTCCTAAAAGGGAAGATCTTAAGGGGTTTACGTCGTCATGACACGCGATCGTGCGTGAGAAGTCGATGTAGCGTGCGAGAGGAACGACGTAGAACTGAACATTCCCTTTTTTTTTTCATTCGAGTTGCAAGTCGCGCAAGGATTTTAATATGCATATCGAGGATACAGCTAGCGCGTGGTAGTGCGTCGGTGTTTTCGGAGCACGGTGGTTCATTCACAACGGATAGTGAATGAAGGACGATCGGCTTCGTGTTAGCGAAGGCAAAACAGTTTTGTCGTAGGTCAGTCTGCTGTGAACGAGCGCTGTCATTTCGCTTCATTGTTTGACGCATGACCTTCGATCGATCGGGATGCCTTATTTCTCATTTTGCGCCGGATATTGAACGAGGTCGAGGTCAGAAAGTGTGATAACAAGATTGCAAAAATTTGACGAGATCGTCAGCTCCTTCCGTTTTGAATGAGTTTTTCAATCGGTTTAAAAAAACGTTGATATTTCCTCCGATTATCTGACCGGTGTCATTTTATCACTGCCGTTCTATTCAGTGCTAGTTATAAATCATCTGGCGTGTGAGACTGCATTATTTACATCTTACGTGCACGATATACACTATTCGAGATTGGACCTCGTGACTAGCATCCTTGTGACAAGTGTCAATTGTACGTTGTGAATGAGACTCGGCTTGTAGTTTATTCCTAAGTGCTACGAGCAATGCGAAGCTTATAAGTTCTGTCGCTTATAAGTGCCACGTTAAGTACGCGGAGCTATTACTGGGATTATAAAAGCGTTTCTTACGTCTAGGTAAGATTTAACGAGTGTTTAACACTTATTATGCATGTAATAGAAATAATCAAAAAATATATGACAGTTGTATTGTACTCTTAAATAAACACGCGTTAATTAGTAAATGTCTAAAATATCTTAAATGCCGTTTTCAATTATTTTATTAAAATCATATATTAAAATAAAAATAAGCTTACAAAGACACGATTTTTATTGGATTTTTTTTGCAAATATCCTCTTATTATTATTTCACATGCACAATATATTTTATAATTTAAATAATATATATAATTAATGTCTATATTAAAAGATGAGAATTAAATTTTAATATTATAAAGGATAATTTTCTTGAGAAAACGTATACTACACTGTTTATTTCCAACATGAACATTCATTTATGCGCAATGTCTCATACTGTTCTCACCTAATGAGAATTGTACAGGAATAAGATACATTATTGAACCGAACAGACAGTGTTGTCATTGAATTTTAAGACTTGGTTGCACCGACAGGTTGAGTTAAATAAGTCCTGCTTTTCAATTTCCGTCCCTTTCATGATTAAAGTATCACTGATAATGTATATAGAAGAGAAAATATAATTATGCAATTTTAATAGGATTTTCTGACCGATGTGTACCATAAAGACTCTTCAAGTGTACTGTGAAAATTGTACAGAAGATAAAAACAAGTGGAAAAATTTAGAAATAAGTTAAAAAGCGAATGAGACATGAGGTATAATGTTTTAAAGATTGTGAAAATTATCTAAATTATATTGTGTTTACTCTCACTT